GTGAGACTCCCTCTCAAAACAAAACAAAGTAAACAAACAACAACAACAAAAAACCCACAATCAGTCTGTGAGAATATGGATCTATTTTGATGAAGACAATTGCAATGCGATAATATCTTATTTTTCATAGATTCCTGCACTTTGTTTTGGTTTAGTGGTATTGGCAATATCCTGATACACACATATATATAATTAAATAGTATGAATATGTTGCTTCTCAGCCATATTGAACCATTCTGTTTCCACTACCGAAAACTGGAATAGTTGGACTTGGATCTTCAAAGCTAAATCAATTAGAATAACTAAATTGATTCATATTCCTCCAGAGGTCCTCACTCTTGGTTAAAACATACTTTTCAAAAGTATCTTTTTAACAGAATTTTTCACCTTCGACAAAACAAATTCATGACATAATGATACTTGCTGTGTCATTGAATTGAATTGAACTGCAAAGCTTCAATTAGTCAAATTTATTTTATTCTGTGTACATACCTGAAATGCTCCAATGTCATTTGCTGGCTCCTTACATGCAGTTGTGAGCATGTTTAAATCTTCTCTGATAAAAGTGTGCTTGATATATAAGCCAGTATAAAATTATTAATATTTGGGGGAGTTAGTTAACTGATACAATTTCTTTATGAAGAAAAACACATCTTATGGTGGTCTACATTTTCATTTAGGTATTGTCACTTTGTTTTCATGTACACTGATTGCCATATGTTGTTTGGTGCTTGTGCCATGCCAAAGTAGCTGAATTTGCTGGCCTTTTAATTGCATGTGGTTCCCATGCACTGTAGCGCTAATGTGCCCCTTTGCACAGTATTTCTCACGAAATGTGCAGAAACATATTTTTAAATGTCCATTGCAGATCGACAGACTTTCCAGTGAATGCCAGTTATTCATTTCTTTATATGCATATATATATGTGTGTGTGTATGGGTATGTATAACTATCTATATATTCATCTACCTATATAGAGAGAAAAAAGAGGAGGAAGAGAAGGAGGAGAAGTTGTTTTTGTCTAGTAACTCAAGTTAATGATTTGATAACTGTTAATATGATAAATATATTTTTATTATAGATTTTTTTTATTGTCCCAAAATCTGGCAATGAATTTTTTGTTACATTTATTACAGAACTGCTGAAGAATTGCAGTTATAACTCAGTGGAATACAGTTTGAAAAATAATGTTTTAGCTGAAGGCCTTTATATCTTTTAAAATGCAAATACCTCTACTTTCATCTGCAATCAGTCATTTATACATTAATGTGAATGAATTTATTAGACATCTTTCTGAGTTTAATTCAGAAGAGGGGGAGAAAAAGATGAACTCAGCCACTGAAAGACATGAGAAAGATCGAATGTTAAGGCTAAGAGAACTGAAGACTAATTTGGCCTAGTTTACAGTTTTGCTTCAAGACTGTGCCATCTACATATAATACATTTATTTGTATTTACAGTCACATATGCACAGAAAGAAAATGTCTACTGCATTAGTTGAGTGTGAATGTGAATATGTTTCAGAATTGCATCCAACTATTTTAGAATATTTTGCTGGAATAATGTAATTAAATGAATTACTTATAATTTTGTCAACTCTAAAGTAAACAGTAAAATTTCCAACCAATGAACTTATTGAAGATATTCTGATTTTATTATGTGAGTGTCTTCAAAGATTGCAAGCAAATAAATTATGCATAAGTCCCAGATTATGTATGGTTTAGTATAAATGCGGACTTAATGATCCAAACCTGATCTCATACCTTTGGACTATGATACTTCTTTAAATTAAAAGAGTAAACTTAAAACAAATTAAATCCTTTTATTAAATAAAATAAGTACATTTATTACATGAATTTAGTTATATGCTTCTCCCATTTTCTCCCCTTCCAAAAGAAACTATCTAAAGTTTATGAAAGCAAGTATCTATTTCAACAGTGTAAAAATTTAGTTGAAACTTCTGATGATTTTTTACAGAGGCATATGAGAAACAGTGTTAGTTAATATTTTAAGAAAGAACAAGAAGAAAATTACATTATTAAGTTTTTCATTTCATTTCATGTATTTTCTAACAGTGAAAGTTATTAATTTTATTGTAAGTTAAAAATGAGTTGGACTAGAGCCATATTGGCCATATTCATTCTAAAGTCAGTGCTTACAATAATTTTGTGTGGGTTTGAAATACATTTAAATTTGAAATACTGATTGATCCTCACATTTAATACTATTGCTTTTTGTTGTTGTTGTTGTTTTGTTTTTTTGTTTTTTTGTTTTTTTTTTTTAGAGACAGAGTCCTTGCTTCATTGTCCAGGCTGAAGTGTAATGGCTCAATTATAGCTCACTGCAGTCTTGAACTCCTGGGGTCAAGGGATTGTCCCTCCTCAGCCTTCTGAGTAGTTGGGACTGTAGGCCTGTGCTACCCACTAGGTGCTATTCCACTTCCTCCTTTCCCAGTATGTTGCCTAGGCTGGGCTTGAACTCCCGGCTTCAAGTGATCCTCCTACCTTGGCCTCCCAAAGTGTGAGGATTGCATGTGTGAGCCACCATGCCTGCCCTTATCGCTGTTTTTGTGTCCAGAAATTGAAAACAAAATCAAGTGATAGAAATATTACTATTTAGGAAAGGGGTAAATGTGACTAACTCAGTAGCAAATTTTGTTTTTGGCTATTAAGTATAACATTGAAGAATTAGCAGAATAAATATGAAATCAAAACTTAGAAGCATTCTGAGATACTTTTGGTATTCTGTTGCAAAATATCTCAAAGTGAAAACAATATTGAAATCGCTACAAAGAAAAGACTAATATATTACAGGTTTTAAAAAAATGATCAACTCAAAAGGTCATTCTTAGTTCTGAGATTATATTTATCCTGAAATAATACTAAATCAAAACTATAAGCTAGTCAGTTAAGTCAGGGAACAAAAATTGAGCCTACCATACTTCTGTTTTTGCTCATATAATGACCTTTGAAACCTCTCTGAGCTCTACTGTTTTTTAACTTTTTCCCATCTGTGTACTGAGAAAAATGTATTACTGAGTCACCAGGCCTATATATTCCCACTTCCTCATTTCCCAGTATTTATGGGAAATTGGTTCTAATAGTTCCACAGTAGAAAGAAAGAAGACAGAAAGGGAAGAGAGCGCTTTTCCAATAGTTACAGGCGCTGACAGCCTATGACAATATTTGAGTCTGGTTTGTCTGTAGTTTATTCTAAATGTGTGTTCCTGAAAAAAAATCATACAAAGGAGGGTGAGTGAGCCCAGGTAAATGACATGTATGCAGCAGCTCCAGAATGTACAGACATATGTTTGGGTGAAGCACAGTCGTGTATCTAAGAAATGTTTGGTAACTCGGTGAATGTAGTTGGCAGCTGAGCCATTGAGAATCAATTTGTATAAGTATCGGGAATGTGTAGAATGACATACCAACAAGTATTGGGATGTAGTGACCAAAGAGAAAACTTAACCTGGAAATTATTTTGTATATATTATTTAGTAAAAATAGTTTTAAGGAAGGAAGCAAGGAGTACATATGTGGTACCTAATAATACAGCCTACACGATTACAAAAGAGTTTTTTAAGTTTGGTCTTAGCGTGATCCTTAAGCTAATTCCAATACTTAGAATTTTTCACTACCCTTTTAAGAAATCTAATTTTATATTTAAATGTATATTTAAATACAAATATGAATTAATGTCAGTAACTTCTAGAAACTAATAATTATGTTTATTTTCCTCCTCTAATGCATATAGCACAAACCTCTCATTTTTTCTCTGTATTTCTCCTTCAAAATATTATTTTCCTCCATATTTTCATAGTTATATTTTGAGTATATAATTTTTAAGTGATTTGTTATAAACTTGCTTGTACTAATACAGTTCTCCAAGATTGCTTACACATTTTAAGGGCATCAAAACCACCTGTCATTGGCAGGCTGTGATAAGCATTTCTTTCAAGAGAATACCTAACACTTTCTCCATCAATCTTTTTCACTTTCATGGTACCAAATTTTATAAAACAGAAGTCACTGCCTGTTACTGAAACTTGAACCAGGTACTGAAAGACACCAAAACATAAAGCTATTGCCCACCACCATAAAGCCTACCAACCATTTTCTCACTTTATTCTATTTCATTTTTTAGTAATTTATTTATATTAGTCTATTAACACTGAAATCTTCATATTTTGTCCTTGGTGCACTGAGCTGAGACAACATGTTTTGATTTCTCAGTGTCATCAATAGTATTAGGTAAATTCTAGAAGGTAAAAATGATATTGTAGAATTATATATTGGGACTATTGGGACATGATTGGTTATCAGAATATCACATTGATATCTTAGTTTATAAAATCTTCAAGAATTAGCTATCATGTCCCAATGAGAACTATATTATAATAGAGTTGAAAATTCTGACCCATAGTTAGTATAGTCTATTTTTTTAGGTCTTTGCTCTCTGTTTCCCAGCTCTCCTACTTGTTACTAACTTTCTGGAAAAATTCAGCACACAACCAAAATTTATCATGGGATATTTAAACATTCTGTTATATGTGGTACTTAGAAAAACAGCTATGTAAAATACCTTCAATCTCATAGCCTGACCAAAGCATAAAAGAACAAAATCTCTTATAACACAACCTTAGAAAAGCCTTAACTAGGTCCTTATTCTAGCAACTCAAATGTCCTATTTAAGACAATCACATTTCAGAAGAGCTTAATGTACAATATCTTCTATTTTATTATCCATGAAATACCCCAAATGTATTTTATTTTCTGTGGGAACAGCTGTATACAAAGAATAATGAAAAATGTAGCCAATTTATACTTGAGTTATAATCTATTGTGATATAAGTTAATCACACATGGGTATCTCATAATATCAAAAATACAACTGTAAAAATATATATATTACTATAGTGCAATGGAAAACTCTTTACTTTTAAAGAAGACTTTGAAAGGAGGTTAACAAGCAATTTAACAATTAATTGTTAGAAAACTGACCTTGACTTGCAAACTTCAACTCTTTGGCATCTGTGACGGTGGTCCTTTTGTCAGACCCTTTTTTCTCTATTCGTCGATGGCTTCGTCTTTTCTTAGACTCTCCCCAAAGATTGGATCCTCCATGCATGCTTGGTATATTCAAAATAGCAATTCCTTCCAGAGAGATGTTTATTAAATCTATCTGTACTCCATCACACTGATGGGTAAAAAGAAAGAAACAGAAACAGTAAAAAATTTTATCTTTATTTCCCTGATTTCTTCTTTTTCATTTCCTTATCTTTTAATAAGAGCATTGAAATCCATAATGTTGTCATTTCCGCACAAAGCTTTCAAGAACAGTTAAACGTTTACCCTGAGTCAATATAAAAGATGAAATAGCCCCTAACATTAACCAGTTATCTCTAGTAGTCCTTAAAAATGATCAAATTAAGTCACCAGTATATCTTTGTTTGTAGAAAACGTTTGGGAGAGACTTGTTAGTATCTGCATATATATTTGACCAGCTGCAGGTTTCTAATGTATTACACAAAGGTTAATTCTGGAAACTATGGTCAAATTTTAGGAAGAAATTGTGATGACTGCCCCTATTTAGAACACACTGCAAGGTACTATTGGGGGAAAGTAAAGAAACAAAATTGATGCCTCCTGGTCTCACACCTTTGGGGCAGAGAAAGAAGTAGCTTAAAAGACTTTTGTTTAAAAAAAAAAGTAAAATTCAAAACAGCGATTCTAAGAGATTTCAATCACACTGAATTTACCAAGGATGACTTCTTGGACTAGATGAAGTCCTAAGCAGATGTCAAAGGCCATGAGAGGCACAGTTGTCCAAATGAATATGGAGGACCGGGCAGATTGAGTGAGGGAAATAGGAGTAGCAGTTAAAAGACCTTCAATCCAGCATGATTTTATAGCTGCTGCAAAAATGGGTTTAAAAAGAAAGAAGGTTAATCAACCCAATTTTTCTTAAATTCCTAGTGACAAAACACCCTGGTGATTATGAAAAATGTAAAATTCACTAACAATGTTTTGTTATATTCAGAGCGGTCACTTTTTAGTTTTTTGGATTTTCCATTCATTTCCACTAATGGACATATGTGGACAGTGACAAAACTATTCTGTATTTTTAAAATTACTATTTATTCATTTGTCTTCTCTAAAATGCTAGTTATTATTATACATTCTAGAAATTATCCCATTTTCAATTATAAGTGAATATGAAAAGAGATAAAAGCACTTTGTTTTTTAAAGAATTTTGTGAGGGATATGCATTTCCTAAACTGAAATATATTTGCAGTGGCATTATTTCATTTGCCATGTCTTAGTACAGAAAAAGCTATTGACACTAACTTCATCATTTCTCATGGCAGTCATGATTTTTGAACTCAGAAGACACAGCGTTCCATGAAAATGATGAAAAATAAACAAAACAAAACAAAAAAAGCCCTCTCTTTTTCCACATTCGCCTCATCATACTGAAACTAGGATTGCATCTTGTTCACCGAAAAATAAAAACTGTGAAATAAAGAAACACATCTTGAGACTCCTTGGCAGGGGTAGAAACAAATTCTAGAGAAAGTGCCAAGTTTTCATTTAATTTGTTTCAATGAGGGCGAAACCAAGATCTGGATGATGCTTTTTTTTCCCCCCCCCAGAAAGCAGTGCTTTTTTCCTCCTTTTCTTGTGCTAAATTAAGATGATTTCTTTTTACTAAAGAATTCTGGTCATGTGTATACTCACTTACCGCTATATATTCTAGATAAACAGATATTAATTTCATAATTAAAAGTAATCTTGTGTAAATACCCTGCAGGCCTCAATGAATCAAACACATACTGTGTGTCAGGCCTCCCACTGTCTTCAAGTGGAATGTACTGGCTGGATAATTAGATAGTACATATTTTTTAACCTTATTTGCATGCATATTATATCTTTTGCACACTGACAAGCAGCAGTAACAACAAAAGTCAGATTACCACAGGGAATTCCCACAAAGAAGTCTTCATTCCTTATAATTTGCAGACTAAATTAAAATAATTTGATCTTTGACAAGGATGAAATGTCAAGCAGAAGGGGGTCCTCTACAAGCCACGGCCTGTGGCTTCTGAAATCTGCCTAATTTATGTCAGTCACTTCTTAATACATATTTAAGTATTACACGAAAAAGATGATAAATATGCAATCTGACACCTTTGGTATTTCCCTGCTGTTAATTTATAAAGGTCTGGCTTCCCCCAAACTGACTAAAATCATTTAAATAACAGAAGAATCATGAAATAAGCTGGAGTTGGGGCCTGGCTTCCATTTTCACTCAATATTGAACACAGCAGGTAGTACACTAAGACAATTATTTGACTAGGCCTTAGAACCCCACTGTGACAAGTTACTTTCAGAATTAGTGAAGGAGGATTCCTTTGTTCATCTGCAGAAAAGGAGAGCATGTTGCAAAGAGGCTTCTTTAAAAAAAAAAAAAAAAAAAAAAAAATTGAACCAGCTGAGTTACATGTGACAATTGAAAAACATCAGTGTATGCCATTATTCATGTTTTCACTCTTCAGAGTCTTGTCATGTTTAGTTTTAGGGAAACAGAGTAAGTAGCTCTCTGAGAAGTGAAAAAAAAATTCTGAAAGAGTCGCAAAGAACAAGGACTGATGAAGAACATTGACGTTCCTTTGAGAGCAGGACAATGTACTTAAATAAATTGCTATTTATTAATGATTTGTTTCCACTTGTTCTTGACCCCAGGCTACCTTCCTCTGTTTGCTTTAACGTTATGTTCATTAGTCTGGAAAATTTCAGTGCTGGTTCTGATGGAGACCAGTAATTGTAGCACACCAGTTGAGTGCATGAAAATAAAAGCTGAGGTGAAGGCTATGAAATATAAACAAGTTATAGTACTGTGTCAGATAATATTTTCATTCCCTTTGAGATTTATGACTTTTAAAAAGGTAGCTACAGAGGAAAAGAATATAAAAGCTTAAAAGCTAACAGCCTCAGTTAGTCAATAAATCCTGAGTATTTTTATTAGGTAGAAAAAAGGTCGTTAACATATAGTACTATGGGAGCTATTTATAGAGTGCAAGGCTGTGATGCCATTGTCCACTCTTTTCAGTTTTAAAATGGAAGATCTTATTCCAGAGACAAATTCATCTAAAAGAAAAGAAGACAGTTTCAGTTTTTCTGCCAATGTGTTTTAATCCATGAATAAATGAGTCCTGAGTCACATTGTACAGAGGTGTTAAAAACAAGCTTTATATGTGACTTTAGTGTCTCAGATCCACTTAACATGTCAGTTGATAGGACTATTTAAAACATGTGAAGAACTTTGGAGTATGGATGGTAAATGTGATGAGATACAATTAATGATAAACTGTAATTTTTTTCCATAGTGGGTCTGATTCTATGTCTATATCAGATAAAAATTTCTATTTTTACTCGATGAAACTTAAAACATTATTTTATAGGTAATTTCGGTATTAGGACACATGGGGCAGAGACTGTGCTTGGGAATTCTGGCTATTGCCTTAAGAACTCTGTTTTCCAGGTTACTGAGCAATTGTCTTTTGAATTCTGCTAATTTATTTTGTGTTTTTGATGCTACTCATGCCATTTATTAATTCTCGAGATCATTTAGGTTTCTAGGGGTATTTAATAATTACAATAAATCAGTATTTTGGGATGGAAATTCTTGGCTTTAAAATTTACCATCTTTCCCAGTCTCCCTGTCAACCACAAGACTGAAATATCTATAGAGTAGGCTTTCTTATTCTCTCATTAACTTTCCCCAGTACCCTGAGCAAACTAAACATTCATGAACTCTGTATCTTCAATTCCAAATGCTGACCTGAGTTTCTTAGGCACACATTTCACCCCCACCCAAATACTTTAATATAAACATTGGTTTTAAAATATTTTCTTGTAACTTTAAAAAAATTATTTTTATCTTTTGTAATAAAGTTAGAAGATAAATGAATATCTTTAAAAAATTCTACTTTATGTATCATTAACTCTACATATATGTGTAAATATATATATTTTTCAATCAATTTGCTCATTAGATTTAAAGATTGTGGCAGCAACATAATTCTTATTTCTCTGAAATTACTGAAGAAAATGTTTATCTCTGCAATGGAGATATAATTGTGTCATAAGGTTTTGATGAAGACTAAATCAAATAATATATGTGCATTGTTTAGCATCACCTGTGAAGCAGTTAATAATAGGTAAATCTTAACTGTTATTCCATGATATTCATATCAACCCAAATGTTTGCCCTCTTTCGAAGGAACTCATATGTGAAAGAGAAATATTAAATAAAAAAGACACACAAAAGAGAGTTTGATTTTGAAAAAGCTGCCTATAAAACACGTATCTATTGCTGGAGGTTTTGTTTTTACTGAAGTAGTTTATTCTGTTATATATTTTTCAAACCATAGTAGGTATAATTTTAGGACAAATAGGAAGCAACAACAAACAGAATCAAATCTTCGAATTGCTGTTTTTGTTATATTTAATTATAAACTAACCTTGAGGGTAGAAAGGCATATTCTGCTAATATGATAGACAGGATTCATTAAAAAGTGAGCAGAGAAGCAGATTTTGCCTTGCTATTCACACACACACACACACACACACACACACACACACACCCCCCAAGATATGCAAAAATACAAGGGGGCATGCACACAGTGCCAGCTGTGATTTATAAATATTATGTAATAGCACCCAAAATAAGCCAGGGATGCAGAGCTAGAAGGCCAGGCTGAGAGAGTAAGTGGAAACAGCACTCCAAGAAACATAACTTAGTTCTATAGGCCCAGATTTCTTGGAGAACATTCTAAATAGTTTAAGATCTCAAGCTCTGTGGATCAAAACCACTTAATTTTATCATTATTTATCACATTACAAATCACCATTTTCAAATGTATTTTCATTCAAAATATTTTGCTGTAAATATAACACTTAAAGATTTTTGTTTGTTTGCTTGTTTTTTTACTTTGTGACACATAGAATCTTATTTTATAGATCAACGGCTTTTCAATCTGTGCTCAAGGGTAGAATAAAGTAAAGGGAGGTGCAGGAGGATTCAGGATCTCCACGTACATTCAACCAAAGCCATACTTCTAGTTTTTCTAAAACTTTTCAGCTTCTGCTGCAAATTGTATTTGAGCATAATTTTTGAGGTTAAGAAATACTCAAAATCTAGTATATAAAGCAGGTTTTTAAAAAAATAATGATTCTCATAGTAAAGGGGGAATGTATATATTTTATTGAATATATATACACATAAATATTTATATGTATATAACAATACATATGACACATAACTATATATACTAAATATTTAACTATGTAGTTATATGTCATATATAATATATAACTAAATATGTAACTGTAGTACGTATATAGTTACATAGATATACATGTATATAGTTATATATGTGTTATATATATCATTTTTGTATACAGTTATATGTGTACATATATCATACATATACACAGATATATCATCCTAAATAGTAATAACAGAAAGTCCATGTTGAACCCAAATCCTTCACCTCTGTTATTATGTTCCTTTCAAAGGTTATGATCTGATCCCGTTATGAAGGGTTTGTTCCCATTCAGTGACCATCAATTCTAATACTTAATTATATTTACCAATCATGGTGAGATAAAAGTGCTAAAAGGTTACACTGAGAGTAGTAGTATTATTAATAACAGCAAATTGGAAATGTAGGATAATGAAGAACCCAGTCAGGCCATTATGTGGTCCATAACTACTTCTGTTTATCAAACTTATTACCTGAATATAAGCAACTAATGATTTAAGTATCAGTAGCAAATTTTTGCATTTATTTTTAAAATGAAAAGCGTTGAAGCCAATGTTTCTTAATTTATATCAACTAGTCATTAAGTGTTCATGTTTCATAATTCTGTTCTTCTGGTTTTGTCTTTATCATTTATCAAGATACAACTTTTCTTTTTTCTTTGACCCCTAAAAATCTCTCAATATAACACAGTCATTTTCTTTTATAATATTTCTCCAAAATTTTGAGTCCTACAGTGTCTTTTTTTTTATAGACCTATTTGCTCCAAGTCTTTTAAAAATGTGTCTTTTCTTGCTATCTTTGCTCTCTTTCTTGGCATTTCCACCTTCTATAAATGTAATGGGGAAATGGCAACCTTGGGAACTGAGAAAACCTAGTTAATGAATGGGAATGGAATGGAAAAGTATACTTTTTAACCTTTATTCATAAAAGTAAGTACAATTTTAGCAAACTGTGTTTTAAAGGTTATATGATATTGAGACCCGAAAATAATATTTTTTATGTATTCTGCAACTTTTTTCTTTTCAGCTGCTTTTATCTTACACGTTTCTAGCTGCACTATGCCCAGTAACAACTGCATCGATTTCCAAAGTTGTGTTCCACTTCTCATTCTTTTATACTATCATAAAACAACCCATATCTACACTTAACTTTAATATGTCAGATAGTGCTATATTCCAAATGAGTGAAAGAAATGACAATTTAAAATCTTGAGTAAGTCTCTGTGGATTGCTAATATATATTTCATTCCATGGGCTCCAATGCAAACATACTAACAACCAAGCTCAAGCCATTTCATTGTATTACAAAAGAGAATTCATTTTTTTCTTACTTCTATTTCTACAGATTCATGTAGCTTCTTGCAGGTGGCTGAGAAAGTTTCAGATGTGCCAAACTCAAAATACCAAAATTTATTCTTCATTCTGAAAAAGAAAAGGAAGAAGCACCTTAGACAACTATCAAAAACAGAGGGATCTTTTAAAAAATGGTGTAACTCTGTCTTGTGTTATAATAGAAAAGGTCTGAGGACATGTGACATCTAAAATGTAATAGATGGTCATATAATTTTCAAAGCTTTAATGTTGATGCCAAACTGTATGATGGCCTTGAGGGGATTATAAGAATGTGTTGATCTAGCAGACTCAAGTGCACCTTTAATTTTTTATTGGTTCATCACATTTTAAAAAATGGTTTTAATGCTCATGATTCTTAGCTTGTTCTTAGGCAACAAGTGAAGAGTGTGCAATAGTGGGAAATTATGATACAGCATAAAGTATTTTTAGTTTTTTCAAGAACTAATATAGAATAAAAAAACTAAGAATATAATAATATATCAATAAAAGTTGCAAAGAAAATATAATTAAAATAATTTCAGTATTTAATCTTAAAGTAAAAGACTCAAAATTTATTTTCTTCTATGACTTGATGGTATTTTTGGCTTTTTATATGAGGTAATTAAATTTGTTATCACTGAGTGTAATTTTACAAAGGTCAAATAGATTTTTATATTATCTAGTATTAGATTTGAAACTTTGTTCTTGTGAAAAAATGCAATATTTGATTATACATAATTCTAATAGTGATCATGCCCTCAATTAGAAGACAATACATGTAAGTGACAGACATTTTCACACATAGAAATGAAACAAAGAAGTTTTTGTTATGGTATTCGAGTATGTCTCTCATATCAAATTGAAGTATTCTGTTTGACTTATAAATATTGATATCTGCTTCTTACATTAGAATGTAAAACATTTTGACAATTAAAAAGACATTTGGCAAGGGCCTTACTACTTAATTCAAGCCTATTATTGGTTCGGAAAATGACATTAAACCTAATAGAGTGCTTATTATTATGCTATGTTAAACCCAATAGAGACCACGCCCCAAGATGGCCGAATAGGAACAGCTCCAGTCTCCAACTCCCAGCGCCAGCGACACAGAAGACCGGTGATTTCTGCATTTTCAACTGAGGTACTGGGTTCATCTCACTGGGGAGTGCCGGATGATCGGTGCTGGTCAGCTGCTGCAGCCCGACCAGCGAGAGCTGAAGTAGGGCAAGGCATTGCCTCACCTGGGAAGCGCAAGGGGGAAGGGAATCCCTTTTCCTAGCCAGGGGAACTGAGACACACAACACCTGGAAAATCAGGTAACTCCCACCCCAATATGGCGCTTTAAGCAAACAGGCACACCAGGAGAT